CTGTCTAACACGTTCTTCCCCTCTGTCTTCTATTTAAAGTATCTCTCACTGACTTGTTTCCTCTCTGGTCTCGATCTTTCTCTCTCTCCATATGCATATATATATCGCTCTCTCTCTCTATATCTCTCTCCTATTATTCCAGAGTGTTTTGAAGCAAGAAAGTTCTTGTTCTTCCTCTCCCACCTATCCATTCTATTGTTGTCTAAGTAAGTATCGACTTTCTATGCGATTCTCATGATTTTATGTAAGCCGTACAACTTTGATGCTTTTAAATGATTTTTATTTTGGAAATAATGTTATACAATTCTCTTAAAACTTATTCAAATTTAAAGGAACTATCTATTAAAAATGAATCGGAGCTCAGCCGAGCCCAAACAAATAATATTCTTCAGCTGTTAACTTATCTATTACAGTAAGGTAGGTACTTCGGTTGTCTCTTGCTTTGTCGACCATTTATAATAATAAATAAATAAATAATAATGGTTACACAACTTCTTCTGTCTAATCTGTGTACAAATTCAAGTATTTCAAGTATTTGTCTTGCTCAACTTCACATTTGATGTTTATATAATTTGTCGCCTCTTGCTTTATTACAGCTCTGTAAATATTTTCCCCCCACCTCGTTTGAGGTTTTATCAACAAGCACCTGATACCCTCCTCAGGTATCTGCGTACAATTATTGCGCACATTGCACTGGGATTCACTCGGTCGCTGGCCAATTGCACTGACTCATCTATGTGGATCTGAATATGACCCTCTCCACTCGCCGCTTCCCTTTGAGGCCACGCACATCAATCAAAACACGATCGCGGAATTGATAAACAGACGGACACGAGCACAAACAGAGCTCGAGGGAGGGGCTGCAGGGGCAGGCGGCCCACATGACCAGAAGAGACCAGACATTAAGTATACGCAGCGTGTTGCAGAATTTAGACAGACGCAACGAAAACAAATTGTTCTTCTATTTACAGTTAGTCGAGCAGGCAATTCAGCAGTTAAAATTAGCACAAATTGTTATAAATATTGCGTTTAGTATTTGCACATTAATTTAATTTGAAATGAGTATAAGCCAGAATACATAATAAAAGGTGTCAGATAAGGCGTTTGTTGGCCTATTGATAACGCGGAATATGTGAATACATATTCAATTTGTAATGCGAGTACTCAAAATATTTGCTCGCTGACTGAGCTTTAGCTGCCCCTGGCCTAGTCACTTGCTGTCCATTGAATACACAGAAAGAAAAACTATGGGAAAGAAAAACTTAAGGAAGGCTTCCTTGCATTTGAATCTTTGGGGTAAGATTCTTAAGATTTAAGCTTAAAGTTATTGAATAAAGTGTAATTTGCACTTTATTGCAGTTAAGTTCTAAATGGTCTTAAAATAGATATCCAATCTTTGATTCGCTAAGCTGAAAGTTCTTAAAATAAGTGTTATTTGTACTTAATTTCAAATAGTCTTTAAATAGGTATCAAAATGCTTCAAACAAGTAAATTAAGTAGAATACTTATTTCAAGCTTTATAAGGTCAAGAAAAATCAAAACTTAATTTGAGTCTATAATCACTTAAAACTAGCAAGTCGAGGCTAGGTTAGGAATTACAAAGAAGAAAAGGTTGCAGACGATTCAAACTGAAATCATATTGGGATAAAAAAAATATTTAAAAAATCTTGATTCAATTTTTTTTGGTATATAAAAGTTGTGCTTGAATCGAGTGAGCCGTCATTCAAGTCAGAAATCCATCAACTTTTTCTCTCTGTGTAGTTTTTGTTGTTGTTTAACTTTTGATAGCAATTGTTACCCTTAAATTTTCGTTAGGTTTATCTTATCAGAATGCCCAAAAAAAGAATGAAGAACAGGAAAAAAGAACAAATGAGCCGAGAGCCAAGAGCCAATTGTCGATGGCCATTCAATGGGCGGATGCGTTGCCCGGCTCCACACACAGCTCGCTCTCAGTCCAAGAAAAGCAGCCGGCGCATACGCTACGCTTTTCCACCTGTCCACAACTGAGCCAAGTGCGAAAAAAAAACACACAGAACTCGAACGGTGAGCGAGATAACCACAACAATAACAACAACACTAACAAAATTAAGTGAAAAAGAAAATAAAAAACAGTTGTTAATATTCTTTATGGCCGTGCCATGCGTATCGCGGTCTCAAAGCCCGAGTCTATGTTTCTATATAAAAGTACAAGCAAGTGCGACAGTGTAATTTCATTCAAGTGCACTCATTCAGTGACTCACCTGTGTGTGTTGTGATAACAATAAATATAAGATAATTTGAATTTGAATTGAATACTCAATTCCCCCTATATATACCATAGACCAAATTGACGAAGAACTCATTAACTTGATTAGATACACAAATTTGGCAAAGCTCTTTTCTAATTTCTAATTGAATTTACAGCCAAAGGTATTGCGTGCGTGTTCCTATCGAGAGTAGAGGCCACTCGATTGGCATTTAACCCAACTTTAAAAGTAACCAAAATAAAAATAAAGAAAAACCTGAAAACATGGCCGGTGTCAGCGTGGGATTTGCCAAGTGCTTTATGCTATTTATGGCCGTTGTCATATTGGTAAGTCCAACTATCTATAATATACAACAACTTCCAAGTTAAGATACAGCCTGAGCTCTGCTCAATTTCATTGCCAAAATCATAAAACACACATTAGTCAGTCAAAAATTATAAAAGAAAAAGATATAACTAATTACTTTGGCTCACAAAGCAAATCGTTTTTATTACTTCCACGAATTTTTGCACATGTTCTATTACTAATTTTTAGAAAATTATTGTATGCTATTTCATGATTTTTTCTTATCAAAATGATAGATTTGCTGTAGATTCATAAAAATTTCCCAAGCAATTACTTGATAATTTACAGAGCTATGATAATTTCTAGATTAATACAACATAAGAATGTCTTTTTAGAGAAAATACTTTATTCTCTTCCTTCATAACAATTATCAGATCGTAACTTAATCTACACGTGTTTCAGCGATTTTGGAATTTCCACCCGCAAAGGTGAAAAATGCTTGTATGAAACTTTTTTGCTTTATCTCCAATTTAACTAAAATTAAATTTTTTCAAAGATCTTTCTCAAAATTCTTTTGTTGTTTCACACTTTTCGGAAAATCCATCTTCCAAAGTGAAAATGGAGGATTAAGTCCATATGAGCTCTCTTTCAATTTTCGTCCGATTGGCTTAAACAATATTTTTAAAGCTTAGCAAAGAAAATAGAATAGATTGAATATAATTGATAGCATGTTTCTGCGATTTTTGAAAATCCACCTGCAAGGTCGGAAAATTGGTGCGAAACGGTTATACGAAACCGATCCGGCTTGAAAATATTAAGTTGAGTCAGTTTAAAAAGAGGTATCAATTAAGTAAAATTACTTTTTAATAAAAGTTTTGAGATATTCATTTGCTTATTGGCCATTAAATTCGTTTCAGGTACAAGGACTCGTTTACCTGGGACTCGCAATATGGGGCATAACATTGCAGGACTGTCAGGCAACAACGGATATTGCCAACGAACCCTTCAAGTTTGCCATGGACTTGATATACTTTGTGCGTAAGTACCAGCCGCTGCCTAATCCCAGCAAGAATCGTAACTCAAATATTCAACAGAGGAGGATTGCGGAAGCCCCGCTATCGATTTCCAGGGCTCCACCTTCGACCTGACCATGGACTGGTCCAAATCCTATGAGGTGACGCATCGCGAGTTCATATTCATGGTCACCTATGCCGTGGTCAGCGGCCTGTGGGTGGCTTCCTCGGTGCTTATCATACGTGAGTCCTTCATCAGATATATCTATGAATATATATTATAATATGGCATATCTCCTTTTCCATAGTCACCTTGTGCTGTGCCACGACCAAACTGATCTCTGGTGCCATCTACTGGCCCTGGTTTCTGTCCGTGCTGGCTGGCTGCATTCTGGACGTGGTGGCCACTGTCTACCATGCCCTGGACATAACCAAAACTATGGTAAGTCCAAGTAAATACCATCTGCCTTATGGCGATTCTAGATTGAGTTTTATTTCCTGTGCAGTCCCTGCAAGATGCCTTCGATTTTGTGGGCGTCACGTCAGACGATCTGTCCACCCAACTGATGGCTGCTTTGGAAACCTTTGGCGTCTACTTCTCAACGCCCGCCATTTTGCTGACCTGCATTAGTTGCCGCGTGGTGCTCATCTGGCTGCTGAACCTGATTGGCGGCATCTTCTGTCTGTCCCTTTCGAATGTGCTGGCCAACCAGACGGCCGCCAAGGCTAGCAGCAAGGAGGCGGCCAGGCGACAGCAGACGCCACCGCCTGTGGTGCCGGTGGAGCGCGAAGTGCAGCAGCCAACGGCACCAGCGGCAATAACACCGCAGTCCGAGCTGGAGCCACAGTATCCGGAGCAGATACGCCCCAAGCCGTTGCCCATATTCATACCAGCGCAAACGGCGGACATGTTGGAGAGACAGGATTCCCGCTATCAGCCCAACGATCGCAGCACGCTGCAGTCGCCGGTCCTGGTATTGCCTCCACTTCAGCAGCAGCAGCAGCTGCAGCATCAGCAGTCGCAGCAGCTGCAGTCACCTCCGGTTCAGCCGGAGATCAACACCTACCGCAACACAAATGCCCATCCCGATCAACTCAACTATCCGCCCTCGGAGCCCGCAACGCCACGGTCTCTGTCGCCGGCAGCGCAACAGCTGGCCACGGGCTCAGCTCTAAATAGTCGCTATTCGGAAATATATCCAGCACAGCCGTCCAATCCACGCTTCAGCGAGGAGCTGCGCAATCAGATGCCCTGGTCCTACACGAGCGTGATTAACAAGCCGCCGCCGCCACCGCGCAAGCCCCAGGTGCAGATCTATCCACAGATACCCGAGCCGGACTATGCGGAGCAATAGTTGGCCGGGGCACGGCGCTGATTGCGGGTTAATCAGCCTGGTTGCGATACATTCCTTGCCACTTGTTTTGAGTTATTGTTATCTTTATTACATTCATAAAGCTAATGCATATGGCCAACAGCTTGACTTTCGCTCGCATCCTGTTCATGGCTGGGAATCTGTTGCTGCAGCTGCTGTTGCTTGTGTTGCACATGCGTCGCCACAAGTTGCAGCACTTCGGCTGCGCTTAGCTCCATTTTTTCACCGCCACTTGCATGCAGCTCCAGCTTAGGCGGCTCCTGTTGAACAGCCTTGGCACCCACCACAATGGTTAAAGGATGGCCCAGGCGTTTGGCATCCAGCAGACGTTTGCCTATGGTCAGATCCTTGCGCTCATCGTGCAGCAGCTGCTCGGCGCCACAAATTTGTGTAAGCTGCTGCAGTAGCTCATTTTCTATGCGCTCCGCTGGCGCCTGCTCCTTGCTGCCCTGCTTGGGTCCAATCAGACAGACATCGTAGGGCGCCAGCAGCTTGGGCCAGCGTAGTTCCTGCTCCGTGGAGAGCACTTCCAGCGCTGCAGCAATGACGCGCGTTATGCCTATGCCATAGCAGCCCATCAAAAGCGTTTCTGGTTTGCCCGACTTGTTTAGAAAAGTGGCGCCCAGTGGCTTGGAGTACTTGTCGCCCAGCAGAAATGTGTGTGCCACCTCCACGCCGCGCACACGTCTCAGCTGTTTGCTCTGGCAGCGGGGACACGTGCTGGCAGTTTCTGCATCGCTGCCTAAGACTTCAGCATTTCCAGCATAGCCGCAGGCGCTGCAATTGAGCAGCGTATCCTCGCCGACTGGAGATATATAATGATATTCATGCGACAAGCTGCCGCCCATAATGCCCGTTGCAGCCTCAACTGTAGAAGAGTCAGCGATATTAGCAGACACATTTAATGGACCAACAATGCACCTTTGACAAACGGCACTTCCAGCTGCCTGAAGAAGCGCTCGTACGCATCACTGACTGTTGCATAAGTGCGCTCCGCTGCCTCCTTGGTTACATCGAATGTGTACATGTCCTTCATTAAAAATTCCTTGGCGCGCATCAGGCCAAAACGCGACTTCAGCTCATCCCGAAACTTGGGACCAATCTGATACAGACGCAAAGGCAGCTGGCGATACGAGATAGGCGCTGCTGTGGCCAGCATGGCCGTAACCGCTTCCTCATGAGTCTGTTGAGATGCCATGTTTAATTATATGATTCTATGGAAATATCATACTCACTGGACTCATTAGGAGCTGTTTGCCGCTGCGATCGCGCACCATATAGAACTCGGATATGTCACCCTCCAGCCTGCCCGTCTTCTTCCAAAGCTGTGCTGGTGTTAAGACGGGCAGGCTGATCTTCTGGCCGCCCGCCTCTTGCATATTGCGCTGCACCAGGCTAATGCATTTGTCTACGGCGCGCTGGGCTATGGGCATTATCTGGTAGGTGCCGTTGCTGCCCGACTTGATCAGGCCAAGCTCTGTTAAAAGCTGGAGATCAAAGGAAATTCAAAATCGGTTTGCTGCTTTCGTAACAGAGTTCACTTTTACCTTTTGACTGCGTGACAGTTGCTCCGTTTGCTTGACAACGGCATTTTTTGGTGTAATTAAAACGGGCCAAAACAGACGCGAGGCTTTATTCATGTTTTGGGCGCATTTAAAGAACTTATCAAATAAATAATAAAAGTTACATATATAACCGGCAATAGAAGAGGAAGAGTGTGTAAAACAGCTGTTGACGAATATCGATTGCAACGTAAATATATCGATATGTGTTGTACTATCGCCAGTGTGACCGCTTGCTGCTAGATCGTTGACATAATATTTGCATCGCCGGTGTTTTGTTTATTGTGTACGTTTTGCAACATTTAACCAACATGAGCAATAATTATAAGGAGCTATACAAAAAGAGCGTAGATCTGGGCGAGCAGCAAAAGCTGCGCCAACAACAGCTGCTATATGAACAAAAGAAGCGACGCCAACAGCAACAAGATGTGCACCGGGCCATGCCAGACTCTGACGAAGGCGATGATGCGGAAGCGCAGGAGAAACCGGAAGGGCAATCTAATACGCAGCGGAAACAGAGCAGGCAGCGCAATCGCGCCAGTAGCAGCAACAGCAACAAAAGCAGCCGCAAAACCCCGCATTTGCGACTGCAGCAGTCAGAATGGCTGCGTCATCGTCCCGAGAACTTATGCGATTGGCTGTTATTGCCCTGCCCAGTGGGCAAGCGCTGCCTGGTCATCGCCAGCAACGGACGCACCAAGGTGTATAACAAGGCGGGTCGCATGACCATGCAGCTGCGCACCCTGCTGCCGGGCGATGGTTACGTGCAGAAGTTTAAAACCGTGCTCGACTGCGTGTATGTTTCGCAACTGGAGACTTTCTATGTGCTGGATGCGCTCTCTTTTGGCCAGCAACAGCTGCTTGACTGCGATGCCAATTTTCGATTCTTTTGGCTGCGCTCACGCTTCGATGAGCACGGAGAGCTGAGCCAGTGCAGCAAACGCAATGAGAAACCGTTCAAGCTGCTGGAATATTACGACTTTGAGGATGCGAGCGCTGTGGAGCAGGCGCTGCAACGTTATCCGCAATGGGAGGACAATAAGCCGGAGCTGGACGGTCTACTCTTCTATCACAAGGAGGCCAGCTACACGTGCGGCACCACGCCGCTCGTCTGCTGGCTGTTCGCCTATATGCTGCCCGATGTGCTCAACCTGCCCGTGCACAGCGGCTATGAGGCGCCGGAGGATTATCTGCCTAGCTCAGCGCTGGACTTCATGGATGATTTTGACAAGAAATTGGTGGAGCTGCGACAACAGCACAAGAAACCGGGTAAAGTAGTCACCGAGGAACCAGCTAAAGAGCCAGCTGCAGCTGGCTCTGCTGCGATGGAGCAGGAGCCGGACGATGAGCTCGAGGAATTTGCTGAGCTGCGCAATTTGTTGGATCGTGAGCGACGTCTGGAGTTGGGCGAACTGGACATGGATTGCAGCCCGGCATCATCAGCTGTCGGCGGCAGCTGTTGAGCCTCGTCTGCCTTTCGCTTTTTTGGGTGGGGGTATGAGCTCTGGTGGTGGCTCTACGGCGCATGCGCACTGCAGACCCTGGGTGCCAGGCCAGAACGCAGCCCAGATAAAAAACACAGCAGCTCGAAGGCAGCTAAAATTTATGAAAAGCTTTAAAATATTAACAAACAAAAACAAAAAACAAACAAATTGATTAATTATGGTCATACAGCGCAGCTGGAAGATTCTAAGCGACGCGGCGAGCACAGCGCACAACAGCAGCGGCAGCGATGCACAGCAGCGTTCGCCTGGAGCACTGCAGGCCAATTCCTCGTCGGATGACTCGGACTGCTCCAATCAGACGACGCACTCCATGGACACACGCGCAGCCAGTCCCATGAAACAAACGGAAACGGAGGCGACGACGGAGAACGGAACGGAGACCGCACTGGTGCGTAGAGATTAGATTAGACATGAGATGTGTCCAATAATTACTTTTATTAAATTCACCTTCGAAATAACTTAAGTTACGTTTGTGTTAAGTAGGTTAGCAGAAAAAATATTCCTTGCAAACGGGAACTATTTAACTACTTCCCTTTATTTATATACTCTTGCAAGGTGTATAATTTTGTTAAGGAGACGACATCTCCGTCTGCCTTTTTCTATGTCTCAGCTTAAATCTTATCCTATCCATTAACTGACAGAAATTTGTAACCACTTCGGAAATGGCGGAGACAATGCTGCAGCGCATCCGTCAACGTTACAACGGCGTCCACAACATGGAGAGCGGCGGCAGTGCCGAGTCGGCGATGCGAGCTCTGGAGCTGTTGCGCATCAGCGTGCAGCAGGCTTTCGATGCAGAGGTCAATGACATTATCAAGCGTTATATGAACGTAAGTAGTTACAGTCCATTTCAATTGTTAACCCATCAATAAGCTATTTATTTGCGACTGACTCTTGCAGAACTACTTCAAGCCCGCCTTTGGCAACATCAAAGAGAATCTAGGACAGCATGCCGTAAACGAGGAAACGCTCCAGAAGATGTCCTCCTGTGCCCTGCTGGAGAATGCCAAGGCGCAGTATACGAATTTTGTGTTGCGACAACAACGACCCATCGGTGCGGCAACAACCACAGTTGTTACGGAACAGCAGCGTCTGGCGTTGAAGCGACCCGCCAAGCCGCTCGACTACAACACCAGCAAAATGTTCAACAACAGCATGTGCTATGCTGTGGCCGCGGGCAAACCCATGACCTGCGCTGCAAATGTGCAGCAGCAGCAGCAATTGCGGCTGCAGCAGCATCAGCAGCAACAACAACATCTCCAACAACAACAACAACAACAGCAGCAGCAGCCGCATTTGTTGCAATTGCAGCGCACACCGCTTATAAGTGGTCCATTGCCCACGCCCGTGCGTCGTCAGATCTTCTGGAACACCGCACAAATCTCCACCAGCACCAAATTTGTGCTGGACGTGCAGGCGAATCTGGCCTTTGGCTTTAGCATTGATGGCAAGGAGCTGGGCGGCGCGCGTTTGGCCAGCAAACATCCGGAGATAATACGTTATCTACCCGACGCCGAGGATCGTGAGTGGCTATCGGCACGTGGCATTATACCAGCCGAGAGTCGCAGTTCGCGCTTCTTGTTTCTCATCTACGACGAGGTCTGCCGGCTGCAGCAAACCCACGAGCTGTACCGGCACAAGACCAACATTGATCTCAGCATGATGCTCACGTTCAATGTCACCGAGACCATGATACAGAAAATGAAGCTCTTCTTTGTGGACTTGAACATCAAGAGTCGCGGCCTGATCACCAACTCGTTTATAATGACCACTAATCAGCAGCAGCAGCTGCAGCAGATTCACCAGCAACAGCAGCTGCAGCTACAGCAGCAACAGGCGCAGCAGCAGCAGCAGTTGATCAGCAACAACAACAGCCATTTGCGCAATGCGCTGCTCCAGGGCGTGCCCGCTCAGCCGCAGCAGACGCCAACAGCCACAGTGGAGGATGCCGCCGCCGCCTCCTCTAAAGAGCTGCCTGCCACAGCCGCAACGCCCTGTTTACAGGGCACCGTCGTGGGCAGCAGCACCACAAATCCGCTAAAGGCCAAGCTCCTGGCCAGCAGCTCCTCGGCGCTCAGCTCATCGCATGCCACGCTCACCGCGCTGCTTAACCAGGGCGGAGTTGCCACCGGCTCGGTGCCAGCCAGCAGCAGCAAATTTCGCAACTAATCGCGTGTCAGTTGCAAGTATATAAATGCTCGTAATAAATAACATTTGAGTAGCTTGCGTTCAAGGGTTTAATTTGTTGTTGTGCCAACTATTTTCGTCACGCTATCATATCGCATTAATTGAAACCATCGAGCAATCCATTGGGGCTTAAATGTTGTATTTAGTTATTAAAAAAAAGGCAGCTACACTTAATAAATGTACAGAATAAAAGTCTCTGCCTATTCAATAAAAAACTCAATATGCATAAAGTTGTATTTAATTTAATTATTATGGCTTAAGTGAAAGCCACACCTAATGTAATGAATCGTTAGCTTGTTATAGATATTCTCCTTACAAGTATTTGCTTAAGTGCTTAATAATAATACGTGACATTATTTTAATATGTAATCAAAGCAGCTCTTGACTGTAAACAATTTCGAGGGCCTCTCTTTGCGCTTCTCATGAAATCAATGTACGCATACTTGACTTGTGCTCATTAAATTAATTTTAATGTACCTTTTGGCCGGCTGCCAAATTCAGCATAGAACCAATATGCTCCTCAATTGAATTGTAGCGCACAATTCTCTATGCGTTGTCTAGCGCATGCTTCATTGGGGCATTTCTCCATATCTCGAGTGTTGTTGTCGTGCAACTGCTGTCTATATACACATCTGTCTATATGTTTATATATACAATATATATTATGTATACATGTGTATATATTTTTTGGTGTATATGCAAAGAGCGCAACGCATCGCATTATAGCTGGCAATTCATGCAGCTTCCATAGGCAACGCTGCCTGCTCCCACCGCTCCCCCTGCACCCTGCTCCGTGCTCCGTGCTCCTCCTGCTGGTGTTTTGGCTGTGATGGCTGGCTGATTGGTGTGTCTGTGGAAAACCACTATACGGCTCACATTCTGGCCGGCGGTCGTGTTGAACGTGAACGTGTGGACGTGGACGGGACGATCGTTTTAATTTTGGTTTTTGATCGCGCATTTACAGTTCTTTCTAAAAAACAATAAAATTCAGGCATCGGCGTGGAAATGTGCTACATATTCCGAAATTGAACGTCTCGGGTTCGTCTCTTCGTGCCTGTGTGTGTGTGTGCGTGTGTGTGTGTGCCTGTGGCAAGTTCAGAGACAGTCGATCTGAATATTTTTGCGCTATATTTTGGAAAACGCAGCCGCATTTCTTTGTAGTAGCCACGAATACCCCGAGGTGATCGCTTCGTAAAATCTCTCAGTTTCAGATCGATTTATATATTTATACAAACAGCAGCAACATGAGCAACGTGGTAGTGGTAAGTCTCAATAGGACTCCGTTAATAACTAGCCGAAGGAATTAAATAGTAATATTTTTAAATAGGATGAGGATCTGACACCTGAGCAAATTGCGGTGCTCCAGAAGGCCTTCAACAGCTTCGATCATCAAAAGTCGGGCAGCATACCCACCGAAATGGTTGCCGATATTCTGCGTTTGATGGGTAAGATCAATCACTCATCAGTCATCATGCCCTAGAATACCCTGTAATATATTTTTTGTGTCATTTAGGTCAGCCCTTCGACAAGAAGATCTTGGAGGAACTGATTGAGGAGGTTGATGAGGACAGTAAGTACACAATTTGCACAATTCATAATATTTAAGCCCCATTCATTATCAGCTATAGTAGTATATATATGGGTTTTAAAAGCTGCTTCAATTTCGTGGTCATATTTCACACTGAAAGTGTCATAAATTTATTAACAATTTGCAGTATATCATATGGAATTATTAGAACACACTTCCAGCTACTTGACAATTTACTAAAAATATATGTGCATATATATTCAATTTTGATTATAGAGTCTGGTCGCTTGGAATTCGGTGAGTTCGTGCAGCTGGCTGCCAAGTTCATTGTGGAGGAGGATGCCGAGGCCATGCAGAAGGAGCTGCGCGAGGCGTTCCGCTTGTATGACAAACAGGGCAACGGCTTCATTCCCACCACCTGTCTGAAGGAGATCCTCAAGGAGCTCGACGATCAGCTGACCGACAAGGAATTGGACCTCATGATCGAGGAAATCGATAGCGATGGTTCCGGTACAGTTGATTTCGATGGTGAGTACGCGGCTCTTCTCTCTTCAACAAATATGCTATAGATACATACATACATACATACATATATGCATGTATCTTATGGAATCGTTTCTAGTAGCTTGCGAAAAGCGCCCACGTAAACACAGATACACACACACACACACACACAAGCCATTTACACCCACAGTTTTAGTTTTTTTTTGTAAACATCAGCTAGATGGGCAGATGACAACGCAGTTCTGTTGATCTTGAGTTCTCGATTTTGTGACAGCCCGCCTCTGATCGTTTTGGAGCATATCGATGCTATTTTTAGGCGCGCGACACACAAACTATAGTTGGAAAAACGAATTTCCATATATTTGTTTTCGTGGCATACATTTTAAAAATTAATGAACACATGCACATATATTTATTTATAAATTTCGGTTTAATGTCTGTCATTTTGTTTAATTTACAGAATTCATGGAGATGATGACCGGCGAGTAAATAAACCCAGTCCCAAGAGCCGCACGCACACATACACACAACCTCACACAGATACACTGACACACGCACACATAGGCACACACACACACAGAGACACTCCCACACTTACACACTTGTACCCACCTGTTGGGCACACGTTTATTTGTTTATATTTGTACATTTGTTTCATTTCGTAAACAAATCCACGTACTTAAATTGAAAAAAATCCACAAATTAATAGCATTAAACTTTTGTACTACTTTTTTATACCAAAAAAAAAACAAAAACCAAAATAAATACAAAAAGCTGTGTATGCAAAAAGATAAAAGTAAAAACAAAAAAAAAAAAAAACAAAACAAATACAATTTTGTAAACTTTTTATTTTTATGGTTATGCTATGCTGTCAATGCCAACCGCACAGTTGGCTGATAAACTGGCGGCTATCAGTGAAGAGCGCGCACCTGAAGAAAGCTGACGAAAATAAAATACAAAAACAAAACGAAAAGGAAAAAAATAATAAAAAAAAAAAGCTCGTCAAGTTTTTAACTACGCTAACATTACATACAAAGCGCTTGGCGCGCTCAACGCTGACGTTGGCCTCGACGCTGACGTCGCTGCCGCTGCCACTGCCACTGCCGCTCCCTCTGCTGTTGCTGCTGCTGCCGTTGCTGTTGCTGCCTGCCATTGACCAATTCGCGCTGTGGCCCGCTCGACTTGGCGGCGTTTTTCTTGGGGCCACCGCCGCGCAGTCGGTTCAGTTGCTTGGCTGTGGCTTTTGTGTGCGCTTGCCGTTAGCTGCCAGTGTTGAGCTACGCCCGATCGCAGCAAATGTGCCGCCCCCGTCGCCGCCGCCGCCGCCCCCTCACACAAACAAATTTTGCATATTTAAATAAAAACGCTCGTGTCTCGTGATAGTTGTGAAGTGTTTGCAATTGATAATAATATTAATTATAATAATAAAAATAGTCAAATATTATCCAAAATGCCGCAGAGGTAAATGCAAACAGCTTTGCGGGAACCGTTATTTGTATACATATACATACATACATATTTGTACATATGTACACACATATGCACATGCATATATGGCATAACAATAAAAGCCGTGTTTGTTTTGGCATTATGGTAGCTTAAAAATGTGTTAAAAAAGACGCCGCCGCGACTTTTCGTGCCCATAAAATTTATGGCTGCATAAATACTTAAATAGATTCTGATATTTCATTTTTGCTTGACATTGGCTTATCAAATGAAAAACAAAAAGTAGCCCGATAAAAAAAAACGAAACATTTTGGATTTAAAAAAGTTATGCGCGTGTTGTGTCTGATTGTGTGTGTGTGTGTGTGTGTGAATGTGTGTGTGCCTAAGCATGCTTGATAAGCACTTTTGTAATTTTAGCCAAAAAGCCAATGCCATCAAAGTGCTGACACGCGCGCTGTGGGAACCCCGATTTACATGCAGTTCAAGCGAAACGGGTAGATTCACTTGCAACCAAAAACCCAAGCCCAGGCGCTATCGTCAACAGCTGCTTCGATGAGTCATTCGGCGGAATAACAGCAATAACGATACAACAATAACAATAACAACTATGGCAATTAGCACTTCACATTGAATCAAATCGAAATCAAATACAAATCTATGATAAGGCAAACTCATTTTTTAGTGTTTGTTGTTATTTGTGCAATCATATTGAAAAGTGGTTAAAAAAAAAATAACAATGTGCTGTTTGTATGCTTTTATTAATTTGCAGCCCGACAACCAATTGGTCATTCCAGCCGCTTCATCGACAGCGTAGCGGACAATTTCAGCACCATGTGCTCAACTCGGTGCCGGAGACGGCTGTTTTGACCACACCCCCGCCTCTACGCAAACGTAAGTACTATCAGCAGTAGAGCGTTGGTTTGAATTTTACGCGCGCAATTTAAGCATTCACATGATGACGCATTTGCACTATCGTAGGCCTGCGATTAATCGATAGCGAGCATTGTATAGAATTACTAAGAAGCCAGGGCTGCAATTGTGCAAATGTTTACAAAAACTAGTTAAATTTATGTTATTAACAATAATTGAACAAGCTGTTCAAATAATTTTGCTTATAAATGTGAAACAGTTTATGCATGTGCTAATTTACAAACAAAAACAAACAATAAATTCAAATGTGAGCTCTGTTAGAGATGACACACGATGACACAAACGTATCGTGTATCGCTCAAAAAGATGCGTTCGTTTTTGTTTGTTCATTCATGAACAGCAGCAGTTGTTAAATACTATATGTATATATATATATATATATATATACATACAACACAACACAACATATCCAATAACATTACAGCGCTTTCATTGCAATTTGCTGGCGCCGCTGCTACTAACGGGGGTGCTGCAGCATTAGCTGACAAAACCAAACGGAGATACATAACAGCGCGCAAGAAGGCCAAAAGCACTATGAAAATGCTTGTCGTTGACACCGAGCGAGAGGAGGCTCTAAATTTGGTATGTGTGCGTAATTAAAAATCCATGTCAGCGGCCCATTCGGCCAAAATGCATTGCAATTAATCAAACGTGCGAACTCTGTGTGTGTGTGTGTTCTATAGCTAATTGATTATTGATTGTCTGTGTTTCTTTTTGTTGTTTTTCTATCTCACCCAAAAACTCGCGCGAACTCGCCGATATTATTGATTTGTACATGAAACGTGCCGTTGTTCTTTGTGTTTTCCTTTTTGGGGTAACGACGGCGACGGCGCTATCGCAAAACGCACACTCACACCCACTTGCACAAAAAACCCGCATTACACACGCTCCTACCCACACGCCCCCTCACACACACACACACACACACACACAAATACATATACATTCTTGCAGCAAATTGAATTCGAGTGGGTGCTGAGACAGGAAGTACATGCGATATTAAAGCAATTGCGAACTATTCTTGTGGTAAGCAGAGAATGTCCTTATTTGCGTTTCAATTACTCAACCCCCCGGCATCATCGTGCAGGAATGCGCCCATAGGTTTCCCGTGCCGCTGTATGATAACGAGGGCAAGAAGACTGAAAAGTTTATACTCAGCGTTTCGCCCGATCAGCTGAAGGCGGTGCTTACCCTAACGGGCGATGCGATAACACAGGCGGTAAGCATTATTAATCATGCAGGAAAATTGCAAAATATTCTAAATGTCTGGCTTTTATCGCACACAGGATATTAGCTTTAAGCTGTGCAAGGCGCCCAGCCAAACGCAACGGACCTCAATAACGCATGATTCGCCGTGGAAACTACAGCAAGTTCAGGATGCCGCCAATCATCTACAAACAGCAATCAATCACATTGACGACGTTGATGACTCTTATCACTTCAAGTGAGTCTGTTTATTGTTTTTGTGCTTATGTGACTATGTGTTTATTTATAAAACGCGCTGATTATGCAGAACCTCCGATGAAGTGCTCCATGTGATAGGCAACATTCTGGATGCGCTGCAACGGGGACGCAATAGCCTGCTGGTGCCGAAGAAGAAGCCAATTGAGGAGCTAATCAAGGGACGCAATATGAAATCACTTGTGCCTAACCTGCCCGAGGATCTGGCCGTTAGCTTCTATCTGCAAAGCCACAAGCTCATCATTGCCGTCTATCAGCTGCTAAACAACCAGGGTACAATGCAGTTCGACTCGCGTCAAGCGGAAATCGGCGTACAATGGCTCAACGATGTGCTCCTGCTTTTGATGAATGGCCAGAAACTGTGTCAGCAGCTGAAAGACAAGGTAAAAGAATGGACGTACTTGAACTGATAAGCGAAATGCTGTCGCCTTAATTGGAGCACATACCATATCTAAATCAGCTCCAATTTGGGCTACCAATCGTATATGCCAAGTTTAATTTGGTTATTGGCAATTTGCCCACATCATTATGCAGTTCTTGACTGTGACGCAAGTTGCCAATTAAAATGACCAATATAAAAAGTATACTATATATGTTGTTTTTGAACTATTTCTAATATTGTTCTTGCTCTATTTCTTTTGCAGATATCCGTGTTTTCAGTGTATAAGGATTTCACAGTTGGTTCGCGCTCGCCGTCAGCACTATCGTACTGAATGGAAAAAGGATATATGGATATGTGTGTGTCTGTTATTTGGCAAAACAAAACAATAACAACAATAATAGCTGATAAAGAAAATGTACTTGTAATAGTTAAAGTAAATAATGTTAGTTAAAGAGTTGCTCTTTGTGGCCGCATAACGTAATACCTACTATATACACATATACATATATATATATATATACAGATATATACAGAGTTATATACACCTAACTAGTTTAATGTACACAATCAACACATTCATATTGTTCATTGCGCGACAATTTATAAGTATAGAATTTGTTTTCATTGCTTCATGTCACTCCAATTATGCATCTAAATGCAATAGAATAAAAATTTACTGTGTTTTGTATATGTAACTAAATGAAATTGCTAGATAATTATTAATGAATATTTATAGTTAGTGCGGCGTATGTGCGTACATTAATATTATAATGATATAGATATAGATATATCTATATATATTTATGTTAACAAATGCAAAAGAAGTATTGCAAGTCAGTTAGTACTTAACAGATTGATATATATATATATAACATGCATACATACATTATTAACCTTACGATTTAACTGAACATGAACATTAATATTTACAGAATAATGTTGTAATAAACCAAACCGAAATGTGAACAGAATTTTTAATTATACTAAACACCATTTTGTATTCCATGTATGTATGTGTTGTTAATAATTAAGTGCGCCTAATCTAATCCAAAGTCATTTGTATCAACGGCCTTTTACTTCTCGTTTACTTTATATTTATATAAATGATGAGGGATGCAACGAAAACAATTACCAATGTACTTATTGAATATTGTAACTATGCCTGTGTAATTAACATGATTCGTATGAAAATTTAAAGAAGATGAAACTATTTATGTAATCTCTAAGCCTATTTAATGTCCATATTCATTTAATTGTTGTTGAATAAAAATTGAATTTTACCAACTTGGCGCATAAGCATAAATTTAAATTTGCGCGCTACTTTGTTACGATTAATAAAATTACTCGCGATCACCGATCGACTCTGCGCTGTTTATCGATAACTTCCGTTTAACATGTGGCAACGCCGCCAGTTCGCATTAGCCCGTTTGTGCTCAAGCCATCAAACAGTTATAAAGCGGCAAGCAAACCGAACCGTTTGCAACAGCGGAATAAAAATACATTTGTTTTTGTGGTAAGTTCAGGACGTTGTTGACGGTTATTCGCGAATTGTTTATGCAACGGTCCACGGTTCAAATGCAATTTAAGTGGCCAACAGCAACAATCAAGAGCCCAATGTCCAAACGGACAGCTTAAACGGCAGTCGCCGTGCTCAACCATTTGATGCATGCATGTTGTAATAGACGCGGAAACCAGTTCGCATTAATTATTTTGATGCTAGTTTGGCTTTTTGGTTGTTGCTGTTGTGTGGTAATCGCGGCTAGCCCAGCGTCAAGTCCGAGGCAGTTGCTCTTTGTAGCTCTTTTGATTCGTGTGTCTTTTGCCTCTGCCTCTGCTGCTGCTGCTAGCCAAAAGGTGTTGAATAATGTGACCATGGCCAAGTAACACAGACAGAGGAAGTCCAAAGAAAAGCAAAAAAACAAAACTTTGAAAGTAGCAACCATTTCAATGCTATTATTTTTGCGAAATTAACGTATTTAAAAATGCATTACAAATTATTGCAATTACAAGCAGCTATAAGTTATTAAAGAGCTACTAAGAAGTTCAGCTTATAAATACTAAATATATCGAACCGGTTCAAATACGGAATTCTAATTTACGTTTTCTATGAACCGTTAACCCAACAGCTGTCCAAAGCCAACCTGAAACTCGTACCAAGCCATATAATTTCCAAAAGTTGTTGGTTTAAGCATAAAAAACGTAAGTTAGTTTAAAAATATAAATAGCTTATCTAACCCTATTTGGTGGGTGCCAATTCTGGGTACCCATCAATTAAAGCGGGCATCTTGTAATAATAATTGTAAATTCAACAATTTTGGTTAAATAACAATTTAGAAAATGTATGTCGAAATGTATGTTAAACCAAAGCCTGGCTTCAAGAATGTGGCAATCCAGGTTCCGGAACTAAAACTAAAGGCAGGGAGTTAGTTCGTACCAATAATCGAACCACCGATAGTTTTCTTTTCGGTTAGCAGCCATTTTGAATAAAAGCCTGTGGTTCAAACATGGTTGGTTCCTGTTCCTTTGTCTGGTTCACATGGATAACTTAACGGCTAATAATTTCGCTTTCAAGTTTAATTTTGGCATTTATTAGTATATATTTTTAGATATGTATGTAGATATATGTAGCTCTGATCCGGTTATCGTTGAGCTTTGTCTTCATTATTATAACAGAGCCGCACGTAAGCCATGCGCTATAAAAATGCCAAGTCATTCGAGACAGCTTTGGTGACCCCCGCCGAAGGTCTCTCTGCCAGCCATGGCTAGCCACTTTAGCTATGAGGCTGCAAATGGAGGCTTCTCTGGTAATTGAAGCCGTGTTTATTTTTTATGAGGCTCGCTTGACCAACTTGCGCATCAGTTGTTGCGTTTTTTATGGCCAGTGCACTTTGTTGTGTCTGAAATGATTTTTCTTTTCTCTGTTTCTTTGCAGCAATTTCAAAGAGTTCACTTTCGAGACATTAGACGCAATGGGCAGCAGCGAGGGCGAAGTAGTGCTCGTAACGGGCGGCAGCGGCTTTCTGGGTCAGCATCTTATCAAGCTATTGCTGGAGCAGCGCAAGGAGCTGGGCATCAAGGAGATACGCTCGCTGGACATTGTGCCGTACCGGAACATTATCGGACATCCGGAGTCGCCGATGTTGCGCACCTTTGTGGCGGACATTGGCGGCGAACGTGAGACCTTAAATAAAATCTTTGCCGGAGTTGATGGCGTCTTCCACTGCGCCGCATCGGTTCAAATCGAATATCCGCCCAACTACGATGAACTGGAGCGTGTGAATATAAACGGTGGGTGCCCTCGCATTATAATCAAATCATATTTATAATCACATTTGTGTATGTCATGCTACCGTAGGCACCCGCGCTGTGGTGGATTTGTGCATACAGAACAATGTGAAGCGCTTGGTCTACAGCAGCTGCACTTCGGTGTGCTTTGTGCCCTTTAAGGGGCGCAGCACCTTCTCGGCGGTCATCAATTCCACAGAGTCCAAAACGGACACGCCCACGCTGGACAGCTCCAAGCTCTGGGAACAGGATGGCGAGTTTCTAATTGCCGGCTATGCATCCAGCAAACTGCGTGCCGAAAACATTGTGCTCAGCTCCAATGGAGCGCCGCTGCAGAATCAGCTGGGTAGGCCCTACTATGCTCTATGTTTTCTTACATATTTGATAGTCATATATATTCACAGACTATCTGGCGACAAGTGCAATACGCGCACCGCTTACCTACGGCGAATGTGATACGCATTTTGTTACCGACATCTTTGATTATTTGTCCAGACGCGATTGGATCTTTCCGAGAATTGCCGGCGTGGGCGGCAAGCAGCAGCTGGTCTATGCTGGCAACGTTGCCTGGGGTCACATCTGTGCCTATAAGGCGCTCAAGGTGTCCAGTAAGGCGGTGAATGGGCTGCCTGTCTTTGTGACCGACGACACGGGCATTAACGATGTTTCGCGTTTTGTGCAAAAGATGGCGCTGCTGGGCGAACGTTTCAAGGTGAAGACCAGCTGGTGGTATATTCCACACTTTCTGTTCTTCTTCCTGGCCTTTCTGCTGGAGTTTGTGGTGCGTGTGGCCTACCCCTACACCAAATATCGCCTACGCTACTCGCCACGCGCCATTGCATCGTTCACCTCCTCCATGCTCATGTACAATCGCCTGCGCGCCTCCATACACATGGACTATATGCCGCTGTATGATCCGGACAGCAGCGCCGAGCGAAGCGCCAAATGGTATGCCAAGTGGTGGGATGAAAAACAGTTGGCCAAGAAGTCGAAAAAGTCGAGTTGAGCTCGATCATTAATCGTATTACTCTTTTGTACTGCATATTCTAGAGTTTTGTTATGTTTTATATAGGTAAATTTGAATAAATTTGGGTGTTATCAATATATCTTATAAGGTTGTCCTGATTCCCTCCGATATATTATATAAGTGGCGAGAATATCTTCTATTTACTATGTGATTGGCTTCCACTCATTTTCAAATGATTAGTTTAAAAATATATTCGTGCTTCATTTTTAATGGTCTCGAAAGTCCCTTTCTGTACGAGTCCAATAAGCTGTAATGTTCGATGATCTGACTTAATTTAGCTGATATATAATCATCTCTTATTTGTCAATTTTGGTCAACATTGAGAGTGATTAGTTAAGTGCCAATCAAAAAACATTAATTCTTACCTGAGATAAACTGTTTTGAAGTTTTTGAAGATTTAAAGTTCCAAAATAGTTGATTTCAGAAAATTTAAAAGAACTTTTTTTTGAAGATCTGACACAACTTACCCGAGATACAACACTTTTAAGTTCAAAACTATTTGATTTCAGAAACTATCCAAGAAATTGTAAACCTAATCCCTAAACCTAAAACATCTTTATTAGGAATCAGAAAGAGTCCAACAGGCTATATTATTCAAGGATCTGACTTCGTTGACCCAAGATGTTCCGACTATAAAACATTTTGAAATGTTAAAATGACTAAAACTCGGGCAAAGCCGGGTAATAGCTGCTAGTATAAAGAACATAACTATTTCCTCCTAACGGATATTCCCCGAAAAAAAAAAACCATCAGCCCTTATAAACCAGAAAGAAAACACAAGTACGACGTTTTATGTTTTTGAACAATGTTCATATTTGTTTATTAATCATTATGAATTAATTTATTTATTTCTTCAGTTATTTCATTATAATTTGTATTATATATATATTTTTTTTGTTGCTCTAGAGCGATTTCTTTTGCCATTGGTTTTTTAAACTTATGTACCATTATCTTAAACTTATAATGCCATTATTTAAATTTTCCATTCGTTTTAAAATCATGTTTCATTATAGTTTATATTTATATATATATATATATACGCATGCATATTTGATGTCCTTATGCTTATGCCGATTTTAACCAGCTCATTGGAATCCCTCCTCAGGCCTGCCACATCCCTATAACATGCTCTATGTACTCATCAAACCGAACAAAGTGATCTGAGTTTTTGACATTATCAATTTTCAGTTAATCGGGGAGGGGAAGGGGCGGGGGGGGGGCGGTTGGTTGTAAGTTGTAAATGTTCTTGCTAAACTTTTGAATACATATTTTCTTCTTGATATTCTCTGTGTGTGTGTGTGAGTGTGTGTGTGAGTATGTGTGTGAGTGTGTGTGTGTGTGTGTGAGTGTGAGTGTTGAAAAGTTTTACAATTTTCTGTTGCTCGAGTGTGTCAAGTGTGAGTGTGAGTGGTTGTGTGTGTGTGTGTGTGTGAAAAGAGGCAATAATTGTCCATTTCTGTATGATCCTGTTTTAAGTGTTGTAAGTGGCCGTATTTTCTCTGTGTGTTTTAATTATTTTTCCAAGGGTTCTTATAAATAATTGAATTACTTTAACCATCGGCCTGGCGCCCCTGTCGTGTGTTTCATCATATGCTTAACATTATTGAATTTAACTATATGTTTATTTGTTGTTCTTGGTTATATAACTATTATATATATATGTATATATATAGTATATGACATACATATATATATATACATCTTTTTATATGTATATATGGGCATATTTGCGGTCGTACGAAGGTTTTCTTTTGCCTTTTGGCTTAATTTTTTATATATATATATGCATATACATATATAATTTTTGTATTTCTTGTAGTAAATATACAAATTCGTTACCGGATTTCTTTATAGAAATGAAAAAATTGCTTTTCCTTTTATAATTTTATTTGGTTTTTGTTTTTTTTTTTGTATTTCTTTTAAATTCTCGTTATGCTTTCTATTTATGTGTATGGCTTGCGCGCACGGTTTGTCTTAAACTTGTTCTTGTTATTATAATTTTTACCTTGTATAGTTTGCTGTAAGTGTAGTACTGTACCAGTTTTCTCATAGCTATTACACTGTCCTGCATGTATGCGTACCATACATATACATATATACATATATATATATATATATATGTATGTATATATAGAGCTTATGTACACACATTGGCCTTCCGCATGCTGAATCACTCGATGCCCAATGTGTCCTGCTGGGACTTAGTACCTAGACTAATTTTTAAAGTATTCGCGCTCAAAGTGTGTGTGTGTGTGTGTGTGCGCGTGCCCTCCTTGCCCGCCATTTTCTTTATAGATGCCACACACAATACCTAACCAGCATGTGTGTGTGCGTGAGTGTGTTTAATTGATTTTCCATCCATCGCACGCGCCCTCTTAATTACTTTTACTTACTTAGTAGAATACTTACAAACTGTTCGCTTTATTATCGCGCTTTATATAAATGTATCTTCATTTTGTCTTTGTCTGTCTTCTGTTGAATTTTGGGTGTTTTATTTTAATTATTTATTTTTTTTTTATTTTTTTCTCAATATTCCTTCGACTTGTATCGTGTATAAAGTATTAAAATGATTTCATTTTTGCTGGTTACGCATTTGTAAATACAATTTTAACTTCACTGCCGTCCTTTGTCATTATCTTTACCTTAAACATTTTGTCATGTATTTCATGTTTTTTTTTATTTGTTTTCTTGTATATATTAATATATAATTTTTTTGTTTTTTTTTTTTTGGTTTTTGTTTTTTGTTTTTCATATAGTATAGTGTAAAATATATAAGAGATATTGTCAATATAGTAAAGGTGTTTTTGTCAGTAGGAGTACCAACTGCAAACTGACATATTCCTGGGGGGAATTTCTTACTTATAGCAAAAATAGTCAAGTGATCGTTCGTATGTAGGTTCTTTTGTATGCAATACTTTACCAAGTATGTATGTGGGTGTGGTTGGGTGTGTGTGTGTGCTAGTGTGTGTTGGTGTGTGTTGGTGTATGTACATATGTATGTCTATAAAAATAAACTGAAGATAGAAATGTCTGATGTATGTAAGTAATTGATTGCTACCATATTAAAGCATGTCAAAGTGTACAAGGCTCACATCATATTCAAGCGCAACTCTTGCGCCTTTCTATGCGCTTCTCAACGTGGGCGCTTGCATGTGTGTGTGTGGGTGTGTGTTCGTGTGTCTGTGTTGCATGGTAAAAAGAAACATCGTCGTCAGCGCTAGACATTAGTTAAATTGTATTTCATTAGCGTAAACGTTAGCTCGTATCTTGTTGTCGTTTTACTCATACACATAATAAGAACTGATATGTTTATATAAGACAATATATAATAATAATAATAAGAGAGACAAAAGAACAGGAAAGTAAGTCGTATATATAAGTAGCTACCAAACTTTTACACTTTGATGTCTTTTCGTAATTGTTTCTTCCACATTTTAAAACTATTTTACATATTACTTTACGTCTTTGCGTGTTCTCATTTCCGGCGCGAACCACAAATTGACTTTCGACTCAAAAAACGGCATTTAGCTTAAAGTATTGTGTATTTATTTAAGTTTTTATTTTGTTAAAAAATCTTTTTGCGGCATACTTATGTATTTTATTTATACACGTTTTCCTTTCTACTTCCCTCGCCCTCTCTCTCTCTCTTTATATGTATATATATAAAAAAGAGACACATTTTTTTTTTATTATGTTCAATTTAAAGCTTTTGCGCCTGCGCCGTCAAGTTTCTCTCTCTTATATTTTCGTATTGACGGCGCCTTCAGTAGAAAAATAATGAAAAAATGTTTCGATTTTGGTTTTTGTTTTTGGTATTCATTTTTGTTTTGTTTAAAAAAATGTGCTTGTTGTCTTTATGTTGTTCATTGTGTTGTTGCTGTAACATTTCTTTTTCTCTTCTTTTGTTTTTTTGTGTTTTCTAATTGACTGAAATTGATTTTTGTTACAAGGACGCATTTCTTCTGGTTGTTGTTGTTGTTGTTGTTGTTGCTTTTGTTGATCCGGTATACCAATGTAGTTGTGCATGAAGTTGTCATTGAGTTTCGCTTTAACAATAGAGCACTACAAATAATATTTGCATAAAGCATGTTCTTCTACGCATAACGAACGTTAACAGGGAAAATGCTACAAAAAATTCAACAGTACGCTTAAAGCTGTTTTATTTTGTTTTTTTACTCTCGTACACAACATGTACATATCGTATCTCGTACTATATAATAACCGATCCGCAATCGCTTTCAACAAGCCGCCCAAAAACTCGCCGCAGCTTCGAATTCTGCACATTTCGCCTTTGGGCCGATTGCAGAAAAGCGATTCGCATCAAAGTTGGTTTTTTTTTCAATTTTTTTTTTACCATTTCTGGTTTTCGGTTTTGCGACTTACAACATAAAAAATTTACTAGCTGACTGTACTTTGGGCCAGCAAAGTTTAGCATACGTTTTGTTTATTCAACTTTTGCTGCTTAGTTTTTCGCCTTTTTTTGTTTTTTTTTTTGGCATAGCTGCCTAGAAATGATTTGTTTTGTTTTGAGAATTGTTTTATAGACTTTTGAGAGCTTTTCTTATTCCACTCTCTCCATGTCGATTAACGAGCGAGATTCTACATTGTGTGTGTGTGGTGTGTTTTTTTTATATTTTCTTTCTAGGACAGTCAAAAAATGTTTACAAGTAATTTACAATATGCATATATATTTGTTGTTGTTGTTGTGAGAGAGAGAAGCGTTAACTTCTCTATTTCGTCCATGCAGTTCTTGCGCTTTCATAATTAATCATATGTTAAATGTATATATATTTTTTTGTATATATATTTTAGTTGTATATATATTTATGTATATTTATATATTGGTGTATATTTAATGTAATTCATTTTTTTTTTGCTTCTTTTTTTATATTTATTTAATTTTTTAATTTTTTTTTTGTTTCGTTTTTTCTTGTCAAACTTGTTGTTTTGCTTCTGCTTGTTGTTGTTTTGAATTATTGCTTTTAGAACGTGTCTTAAAAATATATTTATTTATATAATCATATATATATATATATAGACGTGTGTGTGTGTGTGTGTGTATGCCTTATGCAAATATAACATGTTCTGCGCCTCAAGGATTTCCCAATTAAAATCCAAGGATCTCAACTAATTTCGGCTGTCGCTCTTGAGGAGCAGGCAGCTGGAATACGTGTACTTACAATACGCAATTTACCTGCTTTTCTTATGTTTTTCGTTTTTTTTTTTGGTATATTTATGCTTCTTTGTTGTGTTTAGACTTAATTTTTAACAAATAGTTTAGTTAGCTTTAAAGTAACCATTGCCTTGACTGCCTTGCACATGTATGTATGCATGTATGTGGCTCACATACGTATACATAAGTAAAATTTGTTTTTCTTTTTCTTGTTCTTGTTCTTGTTCGTGTTCTTTTGCAATCATCAATGCACAATAATCTAGATACAGGATTGCCTCAAGCCGATTCGTATATATATATATTTATATATGTATGTAATTTAGCAGCTTACTTTCGCCTATCTAAAAGTGTTTGTCTTTTTGCTTCAAGTTTTCTTTTTCCTTATTTTCTTTGATTATTTATATAAGTATCTATATATATATATAAATGTATATAATTTTGGTTTATTAATTATGCGTTTATTTAAATCCTGTCCCCAATTCTTGCGTGTTTGAAATGCTTTGCGAATTGATGTAAACAAAGTCGCCAAGTTGCATAAATTGCCTTTTGGGTAACATTTTATCCTTGGCTTCGCGCTGTTCATTTAAATTGCTTTTTATGCTCTGTCAACATTATAAACGCTTTAATTTATAATACACTGCAACTATTTGTCGTTAATTGTAATTTGTATAACTATGTTTGTATGTTATGCATATCGTATTTGTTGTCAACATTATCATCTTCATCTTTTCTATATAAGTTTTGTGTTTGTTTGTTTTTTATTTTTTGGTCCGAGACTTGACGGGCAAAGTCCTGGAGAGCGTTGGTTTGACAATTTGGCAAAAAAGTTATGAAAGGAACATTTTCACTGCTGCTTTTTTATTTTTATTTTTTTTTATCTATTTCAGCTGTTTTTACTTTTGTTTATTACACTTTTAGTTTTGTTTGTGTGTGTGCTTTGCTGCCTAATGCATAAATCTCAGACAGACAAAAAACGCATCTTCATTTTGTTCTGTCAATTAAAGAACAATACATGTTTTCATATTAATTGTTGTTGGTTTTTTTTTATCCCACTTGCTGTAATAAATGTGGTTTACTTAATTGTCAGATAGTTTTTTTTTTTTCTGTTTTGTTCCAATAATTGAATACTCCATATAGTTTTGTATATAAATATATTTTTCTATTACGCTTCTCGAATTGCAATATAATCGTCCCGATAGTCCACTCCACATCCTCTCGTCCTGTCGTCGTCCTGTCGTCGTCCTGTGGCGGCGGCGCGACTAGAAAATTTAATTGCACATAACGTGGCCTGCTTTACACATGCTTGTCCTTAAACAACTCAACATATTTACTTGCTTTTTACCCATTCTCATCTGGCTTTTCATCTGGCTTTTCTTTCCTTCTTTCTTTTTATACATACGTGTTTACATATATATTTTAGTTAATTGTTTAAACATTTGCATTTCAGCGTTTGTTTTTTGTTTTGTTTTTATAAATATTTTATTTACTTAAATATAATTATATGTTGCATGTATAATAGTTCATTGTTATATTTGCATATGCGCTTAAATTGTAATTTGTTTAAGTTTTTCTTTTGATTCATCAGTTGTATGTGTGGCTGCGTGTGTGTGTGGCTGTGTGTGTGTGTGTGGGTTTGTCAAAATTGTTTCTTACATATCTTATGCATATATATATATATATAGAGATTTGTTGCTGCCTTTTGCAAATAAATTGATTTATGCCTCGAGTTTTGCGAAATTCACTCTCTCAATTTTGCATTCATCGAAATAATGAATGCTTTAACATATTTGTCTAACTAACCATATCCATTGTTTAATTAGCATATTTAATGCATTTGCTTTTCAATCTGAACACAAAAGAGTTGCATTTTGAAATAATACACCGAATTTTCAACACATTTAACAAATTAGTTGAGCTACTCTTCATTAGCTCATTCGATACAGATTTTCATCTGGTTTTTGGTTTTTTTTTTGCTTTTCTTCTCATTTTCCTCATTTTCTTTTTTACATAAGTTTACGCTTTGCTTTTTTGGCCAATAAACGATTCTTGTACTTTAAATTAAATTCATAATTATCAATTGCATCTAATTGTTAGCACAATTTTGATTTTTGATTAAAGATCGAGAACTAAAAAACAAAAACAAAATAATAAACAATTATACTCTGTATTTATATTACCGTTGGGTATATATATATATTTTCTCAGGCTGTGTTCGCGAAAAGCCCAACTTTTATAACATTTGCCAACTTTTTAATTTTCTATTAAACAAATCAATTGCAATTTGTTTGTTGTTGTTTTATTTGCATTTTCATTTTCATTTTACTTTTGATTTGTGTACTTAGTTTGTATATATTGCAGTTTTCTTTATATATGAACGTGTGTGTGTGTGTATAATATATATGTTTTAAATATATATATATATATATATATATATATGTATATCGACTTTAACTTTAAAAGTTACAACTTATTTAAGAATAGTAATAATAATGATAATAATCATTTTTTACTTGTAATAATACGCAATTAAATAATAACATTTTTCGCTATTATTGCAACATTTTTCGTTTGCTTTTCAACTTTGTGTTTAATTTTATTTAATCTTTACTCTTTACTTTTTTTTTTTTTTGGTATTAATTTATTTATATATTTTTTTTGTGCATTTATTTTTTTTTGCTTTTTGGTTTCTCATTACTTAAAAATGGTGACGCGGCGGCCGCTGGTGCATCCTCCAGGCTGGCCCTGTGGGTGTGTGTGTGCGGTTGGGTGTGTGTATGTGTGTGTGTAAAGGCCACGCCCACATGCCGCCTACTGCTGCCGCTGCTGCCGCTGCTGCTGCTGCTGCTGCACTTGACGCAGTTTCGTTTAATTTGCATTTTAAACGATTTTTGCTGCAAACGTTGCATCTTTTTGGGCGCTGCGGCTGCCGTGTTTGGTTATTTGATTATTTGGTAATATTGTTGTTGTTGTTGTTGTTGTTGTAGTTATTGTTGTTGTTGTTCTTCTTGTTCTTGTTGTCATTAAATTAAAATTAATTTTTTTTTTCGCTGCGCTTATAGTTCTTCTTTGTTTTTTTTGCTATAAATTTACATGCATACAAGTGTGCATATAAGTATATATGTATGTACGTACTTGCATGTATGTATGCAGTACATATACGTTAATTAATTAATTATCATGTATGTGTGTGGGGGTGTGTCTGTGTGTGTGTGTTTCTGGTTTATCGGGCTTATTGCTTGGCTCTGCTTAACAGATTTCATTTGCATTGTGGAAATATATATTAACATACACAAGCATGTAAATATATTATATACACACATATATGTATATGTGTGTGTGTGTGTGTAAGTATATATTATATATACTTTAATTTATATATATGTTTATATATATTTATTCTTTTAGTTATATTTGTTGCTGCGCTGTGTGTGGTTGCAGTTACTTTTCGTGTCTGTTGTCAATTGTTGTTGCTTTAGTTGTTGTGTTTGTTCTATTTGTTGTTGTTGTTGTTGTTGTTGTTGTAGCTGCTGTTGTTGTTGTTGTTGTTGTTGTCATTGCGGTTGTCGGCGCCACCTTTTTAATGGTATCCATTTGTAAATGCCGCAGGAATTAGTGGTCCCTGTAAATAAACGTTTCGTATGGCACAAAACAAATACACACACAAAAATTATTCAAATAAAATACATTCTCGAGAGCATCTAAATGCACACAGAGACATATAAATATATATATATATATATATATAGAAAGTTATTCAACATTTATGGGAATATACATATATATATAATAAATAAAGTGAAAAGTATTCAGATAGAAAAACTATTTAATTTGATATTGATTTGAAAATGTAATTGTTTTTTTGGTTCGAACTATTTAATTTTTGCCTTGTGGCTGAGATTTGATAAACACGTTGAGCGGAAGAAATATTTTAAATATGCAATCAAAATAGCTTATAAAATTTTACAAAAATTAAAAATGCAGCTCTTGAATTAGTAAAATTGTAACAAGTAAAATGGACGCCAGTTCTTTATCAAAACTTGCCACAGGCTGCAATAATAAATGTGTGTGTGTGTGTGTGTGTGTGTGTGTTGATGATTTATGTATATGTGTATGTAGTGGCAGCGCTTAAATTTAATATTTATATAATACACATGTATATTGTTGAATTTGTAAATAAATCATAATTGTTTTAATTGAAACGGCCTAGAAAACTGTGCTTGTGACGTGCATACATAATTTGAACTTGATTTAGTTTTGGTTTTTAGACTAGATTTTGTAATTGTTTAAATGTTTATTAAAAGATATAAATATATATATATATATATTTTGATAAAATTGGATTGATTAATAATTGAAATTGTTATTGGAAAAAAACACGCTGTAGTTTTGTTGGTGTGCCTACCTTGTGCAACTGCGTTTGTTATATACTCTTATTACTTTTTACTTTTGTTTTGTTTTCTTTACTTATTTTGTTTCTTTTTGCTTTTCGTTTATTTATATATGTATATATGTGTATATATATATATATTTCGATTTACATATATATAATTGTATATACTTTTTGCATTTGTTTGTATTCTTGTTTTATATTTTGGGTTATCAGTCTTTTTATATATTAGCCATCGCAAAGTTCAACGAATAAATCTGTACGAAATGAAAGAGAAATACATAGTACAATATATATATAGAAGGTCAACGCAATAACTATGTAACTATTTATTATTTATTTTATTAAATATTACTTTTTTTTTTTTTTTGTGGAATTGTTTAGTTTTTTATTTAACGCTACATTTGCCTGCCAAGCTGTGTGCACGGAGCGCATTCAAGCAATGCTCAGTAACGGACCAGAACTGGGCCTAGATAACGCGCAGCGCCCCCAAAGTTAACACTACTTTCAGGGCCCAGCGGGGCCAGACCGGAGTGGCTCCACATACTTACCGGGCTGTAGTTCAATGGGGCACGGCTGACGGCTATGGGAAAGCCCGATGGCTGCGGACTGGTGGCCTGTACATAGCCCACATTGTCGGCCCCGGCCGAGCTGTACATGTCAATGGTTGGTCCGGGCGAATTGGTGGAAGGAAAGCCCTGCCGTGTGGCCGTGGTGGCAGCCCCTGCATGTGGCGAGGCCGACGGACCGTAGCTGTGTGCGGCTGCAGCAGCCGCCTGATAGTTGTTCATCACTGCAAAATCAGAGGAAACGAGTACGGTTATGTTAGGCATCAAATAAGCGTATTCAGAATTTAGTTAAATAAACACTATGCGCAACAAAATTCAAGTTAATGTGTAAACCTATCGATATTCAGCGGATATCTATCCATAAATCAGTTAATTAAAGAAAATCAGAATACAATTGTCACATAAAGTCATCGATCGTACTACAAACTCTTAAAACGGCGGATTTATAAGCAATTGAAGGGATTGAATTCGTAGGGATCCCTACTATCAATCGGCATTCAAACATTTTAAAAATCGATGGCTAAAAAAGAGTGGTTGACCACAAACCGATTCGTTTGTAAAGTCAACCTTTTTTGATGATTTTTTGGAATATCTCGGACAAATAATGTCCGATTTGGGAATTTTATACCATTTTGGACTCGTAAGGATCAGTACTACCGATTGGCATCAAAAAAATAAAAATCTAAATTTTTTCCCAAATTGACAAAATGGCAAGGGGTTACATCACGTTTTTTCTAAAAATCGGGGTCGATTCGACAATCAAAACTTTTTTGATGATTTTTTTTGAATATCTCGGGAAAATATCGTCAGATTTTGAAATGTTATACCTTTTTGAATTCGTAGGGATCCCTACTATCAATCGGCATTCAAACATTTTAAAAATCGATGGCTAAAAATAAGTGGTTGACCAAAAACCGATTCGTTTGTAAAGTCAACCTTTTTTGATGATTTTTTGGAATATCTCGGACAAATAATGTCCGATTTGGGAATTTTTTACCATTTTGGACTCGTAAGGATCAGTACTACCGATTGGCATCAAAAAAATAAAAATCTAAATTTTTGCCCAAATTGACAAAATGGCAAGGGGTTACATCACGTTTTTTCTAAAAATCGGGGTCGATTCGAAAATCAAAACTTTTTTGATGATTTTTTTTGAATATCTCGGGAAAATATCGTCAGATTTTGAAATGTTATACCTTTTTGAATTCGTAGGGATCCCTACTATCAATCGGCATTCAAACATTTTAAAAATCGATGGCTAAAAATAAGTGGTTGACCAAAAACCGATTCGTTTGTAAAGTCAACCTTTTTTGATGATTTTTTGGAATATCTCGGACAAATAATGTCCGATTTGGGAATTTTATACCATTTTGGACTCGTAAGGATCAGTACTACCGATTGGCATCAAAAAAATAAAAATCTAAATTTTTGCCCAAATTGACAAAATGGCAAGGGGTTACATCACGTTTTTTCTAAAAATCGGGGTCGATTCGAAAATCAAAACTTTTTTGATGATTTTTTTTGAATATCTCGGGAAAATATCGTCAGATTTTGAAATGTTATACCTTTTTGAATTCGTAGGGATCCCTACTATCAATCGGCATTCAAACATTTTAAAAATCGATGGCTAAAAATAAGTGGTTGACCAAAAACCGATTCGTTTGTAAAGTCAACCTTTTTTGATGATTTTTTGGAATATCTCGGACAAATAATGTCCGATTTGGGAATTTTATACCATTTTGGACTCGTAAGGATCAGTACTATCGATTGGCATCAAAAAAATAAAAATCTAAATTTTTGCCCAAATTGACAAAATGGCAAGGGGTTACATCACGTTTTTTCTAAAAATCGGGGTCGATTCGAAAATCAAAACTTTTTTGATGATTTTTTTTGAATATCTCGGGAAAATATCGTCAGATTTTGAAATGTTATACCTTTTTGAATTCGTAGGGATCCCTACTATCAATCGGCATTCAAACATTTTAAAAATCGATGGCTAAAAATAAGTGGTTGACCAAAAACCGATTCGTTTGTAAAGTCAACCTTTTTTGATGATTTTTTGGAATATCTCGGACAAATAATGTCCGATTTGGGAATTTTATACCATTTTGGACTCGTAAGGATCAGTACTACCGATTGGCATCAAAAAAATAAAAATCTAAATTTTTGCCCAAATTGACAAAATGGCAAGGGGTTACATCACGTTTTTTCTAAAAATCGGGGTCGATTCGAAAATCAAAACTTTTTTGATGATTTTTTTTGAATATCTCGGGAAAATATCGTCAGATTTTGAAATGTTATACCTTTTTGAATTCGTAGGGATCCCTACTATCAATCGGCATTCAAACATTTTAAAAATCGATGGCTAAAAATAAGTGGTTGACCAAAAACCGATTCGTTTGTAAAGTCAACCTTTTTTGATGATTTTTTGGAATATCTCGGCCAAATAATGTCCGAATTGGGAATTTTATACCATTTTGGACTCGTAAGGATCAGTACTATCGATTGGCATCAAAAAAATAAAAATCTAAATTTTTGCCCAAATTGACAAAATGGCAAGGGGTTACATCACGTTTTTTCTAAAAATCGGGGTCGATTCGAAAATCAAAACTTTTTTGATGATTTTTTTTGAATATCTCGGGAAAATATCGTCAGATTTTGAAATGTTATACCTTTTTGAATTCGTAGGGATCCCTACTATCAATCGGCATTCAAACATTTTAAAAATCGATGGCTAAAAATAAGTGGTTGACCAAAAACCGATTCGTTTGTAAAGTCAACCTTTTTTGATGATTTTTTGGAATATCTCGGACAAATAATGTCCGATTTGGGAATTTTATACCATTTTGGACTCGTAAGGATCAGTACTACCGATTGGCATCAAAAAAATAAAAATCTAAATTTTTGCCCAAATTGACAAAATGGCAAGGGGTTACATCACGTTTTTTCTAAAAATCGGGGTCGATTCGAAAATCAAAACTTTTTTGATGATTTTTTTTGAATATCTCGGGAAAATATCGTCAGATTTTGAAATGTTATACCTTTTTGAATTCGTAGGGATCCCTACTATCAATCGGCATTCAAACATTTTAAAAATCGATGGCTAAAAAAAGTGGTTGACCACAAACCGATTCGTTTGTAAAGTCAACCTTTTTTGATGATTTTTTGGAATATCTCGGCCAAATAATGTCCGATTTGGGAATTTTATACCATTTGGACTCGTAAGGATCAGTACTATCGATTGGCATCAAAAAAATAAAAATCTAAATTTTTGCCCAAATTGACAAAATGGCAAGGGGTTACATCACGTTTTTTCTAAAAATCGGGGTCGATTCGAAAATCAAAACTTTTTTGATGATTTTTTTTGAATATCTCGGGAAAATATCGTCAGATTTTGAAATGTTATACCTTTTTGAATTCGTAGGGATCCCTACTATCAATCGGCATTCAAACATTTTAAAAATCGATGGCTAAAAATAAGTGGTTGACCAAAAACCGATTCGTTTGTAAAGTCAACCTTTTTTGATGATTTTTTGGAATATCTCGGACAAATAATGTCCGATTTGGGAATTTTATACCATTTTGGACTCGTAAGGATCAGTACTACCGATTGGCATCAAAAAAATAAAAATCTAAATTTTTGCCCAAATTGACAAAATGGCAAGGGGTTACATCACGTTTTTTCTAAAAATCGGGGTCGATTCGAAAATCAAAACTTTTTTGATGATTTTTTTTGAATATCTCGGGAAAATATCGTCAGATTTTGAAATGTTATACCTTTTTGAATTCGTAGGGATCCCTACTATCAATCGGCATTCAAACATTTTAAAAATCGATGGCTAAAAATAAGTGGTTGACCAAAAACCGATTCGTTTGTAAAGTCAACCTTTTTTGATGATTTTTTGGAATATCTCGGCCAAATAATGTCCGATTTGGGAATTTTATACCATTTTGGACTCGTAAGGATCAGTACTATCGATTGGCATCAAAAAAATAAAAATCTAAATTTTTGCCCAAATTGACAAAATGGCAAGGGGTTACATCACGTTTTTTCTAAAAATCGGGGTCGATTCGAAAATCAAAACTTTTTTGATGATTTTTTTTGAATATCTCGGGAAAATATCGTCAGATTTTGAAATGTTATACCTTTTTGAATTCGTAGGGATCCCTACTATCAATCGGCATTCAAACATTTTAAAAATCGATGGCTAAAAATAAGTGGTTGACCAAAAACCGATTCGTTTGTAAAGTCAACCTTTTTTGATGATTTTTTGGAATATCTCGGACAAATAATGTCCGATTTGGGAATTTTATACCATTTTGGACTCGTAAGGATCAGTACTACCGATTGGCATCAAAAAAATAAAAATCTAAATTTTTGCCCAAATTGACAAAATGGCAAGGGGTTACATCACGTTTTTTCTAAAAATCGGGGTCGATTCGAAAATCAAAACTTTTTTGATGATTTTTTTTGAATATCTCGGGAAAATATCGTCAGATTTTGAAATGTTATACCTTTTTGAATTCGTAGGGATCCCTACTATCAATCGGCATTCAAACATTTTAAAAATCGATGGCTAAAAATAAGTGGTTGACCAAAAACCGATTCGTTTGTAAAGTCAACCTTTTTTGATGATTTTTTGGAATATCTCGGACAAATAATGTCCGATTTGGGAATTTTATACCATTTTGGACTCGTAAGGATCAGTACTACCGATTGGCATCAAAAAAATAAAAATCTAAATTTTTGCCCAAATTGACAAAATGGCAAGGGGTTACATCACGTTTTTTCTAAAAATCGGGGTCGATTCGAAAATCAAAACTTTTTTGATGATTTTTTTTGAATATCTCGGGAAAATATCGTCAGATTTTGAAATGTTATACCTTTTTGAATTCGTAGGGATCCCTACTATCAATCGGCATTCAAACATTTTAAAAATCGATGGCTAAAAAAGAGTGGTTGACCACAAACCGATTCGTTTGTAAAGTCAACCTTTTTTGATGATTTTTTGGAATATCTCGGCCAAATAATGTCCGATTTGGGAATTTTATACCATTTTGGACTCGTAAGGATCAGTACTATCGATTGGCATCAAAAAAATAAAAATCTAAATTTTTGCCCAAATTGACAAAATGGCAAGGGGTTACATCACGTTTTTTCTAAAAATCGGGGTCGATTCGAAAATCAAAACTTTTTTGATGATTTTTTTTGAATATCTCGGGAAAATATCGTCAGATTT